GTAGTGTATATTTTCTTTGACCACGCTGTATATTTTGCTTATCAGATAAGAATATTCAGTATACTAAAACTAAATGTTGTTTATAAAACTTTGGAGAAAATAAGAAATAAAAAATCTTTTTACACCTAGACCACATGAGTAAAGAAACCAACCAGAGGGGAAGCTACATACAAACGTCTCGTTGCGGGTACACTCACACATAGCGCAGCGATGTTGTGTGAGCTCTCACCGACAGGTTCACCGACGCTCCGTCGGGGTACAAACCGGTTTGCGCCGGCTCAGTCAAAGTGTGAATGAAAGGGCTGTTGTTCACGCGCATTGAAATAAAGAGACGAATAATATTTCGTGATGTTATAGATCAATAAATTTATATTTTTTTTTACAATTAGAGTTAAGTTTATAGATTGTGTACTATAAAATAAGACAATATAAATTTATATATATTTATATTAGATAATTAGTATTCGTATAAGCTGAATGCTTAAGTTGTACAGTATGTATGAAAAATTCGAGAGAAAATAATACAATAGCCAAACAGTGGAGCAGTTAATGTTAGTGGTAGTAGTACTGGTGATGGTAATGGTGGACGGTGGTGCTGATCGTGCGGTGTTGGTGGCGGTGGATAGTGTGCTGATCGTGCTAGTAATGGTGACAGTGATTGTGGTGGTGCTGGTAGTATTATTGGTGGTGGTGGTGGACAGTGGACCACCACTCGACACACACACACACACACACGACCCGCATCACCACCACAGCCGTTACTACCGCCACCATCATCCTGGTAGTAACATTGGCGGCCGTCACTGCCCACTACCATCATCACAGTCATTACTACTGCCACCTGATTTTTTGTACTCATGAATACGTTGTCTTACGAAAATGATATTGATAGAAATATAGATATATTATGTAATGTGAAGCTAAGCATGAAAATAAGCAAAATATAAAATTTTTGCAGTTTCAATTTTAATTAGAAATAACAGACATGTTATTATATTAACTTAAGTTAAAATGAATACACATGTTCTTTTATACCATATTATATTTATATTTTTTCCTTAATATTTTCACATGCATCAGGTGATAACCCTATCAGAATAGGTATAGATTTTCGACGTTGTTAGAAAGCTTCCCCTCTGGTCTTTACTCTTTACTCTGTGCCTAGACCGCAGTTCCCGATATCTGTTTGGTTGTTTCAATTCTAGTATGTTCGAAATGGTTATCTTGGTACCTATTGAGGGCCACGAGTCATGGGGTAAGATTGAGAATATTGATATGATTTGTCGTTATCGTAACGCTTGTCAGACGGATGGGAAAATGCAGTATAGAAGAATAGGAGACCAGCAAGTAGTCCATAGTTTATATTCTTGGCGGAGCATGTCGTACTTGAACAGGGAATTTTTCCCATTTTTTAATAAAACTCAACTAAGTTTTTCTCCTACATGATAAAGGAGTTTTACAGATATAAATTGCACATAGATAAGAGAAGAGTGTGGTTTGCAAGATGATGCTGTGACCAGGATTAAGAAAGGAATGCTTCGATGGTTTGCTCATGTAGAATGAATGAACGAGGAAAGAGTGACAAAACAAATTTATGTTGCAGAGGCGAACGGCAGAGTCGGTAAGGGACGCCCTAGGCGAAAGTTTATCGACCAAATTGGCGATATATTGAAAATGGGCCAAATCAATAGTAGGTACCTTTAACCGACGAGTGTGTATGCGTAGGTATATGGATGTGGAGGAAGCGAGTGAGGTGTGTCAGGATCATGCCAAATAGAAGTCCATAGTCTCTGCCTACCCCTCTGGGTGACAGGCGTGAGTGTTTATGTTTACAGATCAACATTCTTACATTGCTTAGCTTCTGCGTTACCGAACAGCTAAAACTCTAAAATGTATTATTGTCCTTGAATATTATTTCATAATCATTTGAGGTGGTTGTTACATAGCCAGCATCTAAAGGAGGCCACAAGATCTTCTGATCCTCCTCTGATTCGTCTCCAGATACCCGCGAGATATGGATTGATGGTTTCCCTTTAGCCGATACCCTACGACAAGACACTAATTCCATCATTTTCATTGTAAAGTTCATCACAAGTTCCTCCTGGGCACAGGCCTTCCCAACATAATATCGCCACTTATTTCATTGTTCTAGAAATATACCACATAATTTATTATGATTTTATAAAAATCAAATCGAGCAAAACGCGAACTGCTATCTCAGCGACATAAACTTAGTCCGTTGACGTAGGTAATGAATTGTGAAAAATCTTAACGTCTACCACTGATATCACTGCAATTAAGTGATATCAAATTGTATCTTCGAGATCATAGTCATTTATATACAACATAACATTGTAAAAAAATATCTTGAGAGATTTATTTATCACGTGTCTTAATGTTTACATTACAGGATTACTCAATAGTCCAGCCTGAATACGAGTCGTATTTAGTGCTATAATTACCATATTATTTGTACATGACAATGTATATTATATTACTTACATCACTGAAGCAAGCTTTTTTTGAAAATAATTAATAATACAAATAAATAAAATCTTTATTTGCCACAATCTTTTAACAAATAAATGGAACATGGTGTGGGTGACAGCAGGCCTCTGTCACTCTTGCTAACTGCGTAAAGCCGCTTCTCCACCAACATTTTGTTACCAACTTTTGTGTTGTCAACACGTGTTGGTAACAAATGTTTCTGTAATTATCTAGTGTTGGCAACAAAACTTGTAAACAATGTGGAACCGTGTTTCCATTATCGGCGGCAATTTGTATGGCCTACAAATAATTGTTCAAGGTCTGTTCATTCTACCTATGTAAACTGTCCCTGCGATACGGGATCAAATCCTAGTGTGGAGGTAACGTTTTTTAAAAAGGGAGGAAGAGAGACAGCTAATGAAATTAATAATTTTGCCTATAACCGACTTCAATATTAATACGCATTATTAAGGACAACTCCAAACCTACTGGTGTTTTTTTTGCATAAAATTATAAATACTGCGGCTGCCTGCATAATGTCGTCACTTGAAGACATATTGTTGCCAAAAAAACTTTGGTGGAGACAGCAACATGTCAACTAAAATGTTTCACAAATTGTTGGCGACATGTTTCAATTCGGTGCGAAAACATCGGAACAAAAGTTGGTAACTTTTGTTGAGTCGCAAACAGTTGGAAACATAAATGTTGTCAACATTTGCGGTGGATACGCGGCTTAAAATAATTACCTACAATCGCGAGGCGTCCTCGAGGCAGAACGCAGTCGCGGCTAGCGCGTTCTAGACGATTCAATGTTAAAGTTTTTTTTCGCTGTTTACGTAAATAGATTTTTGTAAATACTTGTTGAAATACCTACTCATCGAAATAGTTTTTGTTTGAAAAAAAATTAAGAAATAATTTAACCACAGATATAATATCTAAGTACCTACTTTATTACAAAACTTAGCTGAAATTCTTAGCAAAACTTCACTACCCAAGTAGGTACCTACTTACATATCTATACTTGTCTTTTGTAATTAAAATATATATATATAGTTATAATAACACAAAATACTGAAATTAAAACTTTGTTTACAAGATTTTTGATTTTACGTTTTACGTTTACGCGATTCCCGACGAATGGGTATCACAAAACTCACATATGTAGTAGCGGAAATATGGTCGATCATAACTTACTTACAGTTTCACAATATATTTTTCAGCCATTAGTAACCATGGAAAGTCCGTTGTGACGTAGTAAGGAGAAAAGATGCAAAGTAATACGGACACTCGCGGGCAGCGATAGTGCTATTTAGCTTGCATGCACGATTTATCTGATTAATAATAACTACGTAGGCTATTAAGACGTCGGCAAGCAGTCAACATCAAAGGAGTGCAACTTCTGTACGTAGTACTATTATTTATTCTGTGCCCTGGCTTCTAAACTAGTTGTAAAAGCTGTATCTTAGAAACCAGTGTCTTCCCCTATTAGTGTTACAACTACAATAGATTTTGGAGACTTAAGAATAAATAGAATTCAGTTAACAATGGACTAACATGCAGTAAACGAAAATGACGGAATAAGCAAATGTTGTGTGGATAGTAGTCGTCGCGCGCGTGACTGTGTGTTTGCTTGTGCATGTAATTAACTTGTTATACTTTTTTTAACGTGTTGATTTTAAAGATACCTAACCATAACCTCGAAAATAAAATATTACGGCGCTCAAAACTACGACTAATAGTTTCAATGATGTCGGCAGATATCGAGTACTAAACCACGTGGGTCATATGTAACTGCGACTAAACATCGAATTCACGTACATAAATGTATTAGGAAGCTCAAAATCGCTCAGCGAGCTATGGAGAGGGCTATGCTAGGGGTTTCTCTGCGTGATAGACTTGAAAACGAGGATATCCGCAGTAGAACTAGAGTAACCGACATAGTCCAGCAGATTAGTAGGCTGAAGTGGCAATAGTTTGGCCATATAGCTCGAAGAACCGACAACCGATAGTGAAGAAATGTTCTCAGTGTTCAAAAGTGGCAGCCTTGTACCGACGGGCGAAGTGTGGGGCGTCCTCCCACTAGATGGAGTGACAAGCTGGTAAAACATGCAGGAAGTCAATGGATACAGGTGCCTCGGGACTGTGCTTTGTGGCGTTCCTTGGGGGAGGCCTATGTTCAGCAGTTGATTTGTGAAGGGCTGTAATGAGGATGATGATGATTACGTGTGATGTAATAACACAATTTTCAACTACAAGTGTTTATTAACAAGAATATGTGAATACAATAAATACCATGTAAATTTCAATCAGCATATTTAAAATATTTCACAACACTATATAAATCACAGTTAGTCGAGGTAAATATTTGTTCTGTACAATTTAAATTTTATACGTTACCGAAGCTCCTTATATTTGTATTATTTATTTTTAAGCACTGGTTTTATTTATTATTTAATTAAATTTCTACGCTAACCTAATACTGGCAAACATTTTTGGAATACTGTGTTAGTTTCTTACAATACTACATCTAGAACTCCTAATTGTGCCCTCATAGTGTCCGTCAATTTTGAAAACAAAACGCTCTCGTCTAAGGTCATCTTTGGACTTTCCAGCAGACCTGGAACATTATAAGAAACATTATTTTATGAATTATATTATTACTTCTTATTAGGTATGGATAGAGTGAGCGAGAGGTTGCGTCACTCTAGCGAAAGATCATATCGATAGTGGCGAAGTGAAATTGAGGGTATATTGAGAAATTCGTCAAAGATCACTGTAGGCGCCGTGCGAGGGAGATTCCGTCGCAGTCATTTTACGTAGTAGTAGTGGTAAGATGTCTGTTGTGGTGTTTCTTCTGGTGCAGGCAAATAAGGTGGTGTTGCTGAGAGGCTGCTCTGTGTTACATTAAGATGTTTAGTGTTGCTGTTGGTTTGGATAATTTGGTGTTATCATGTAAATACGTCCCTCGCGTTACACCAGTGTGTAATTGTGGCGGGAATGTGTTACGATGTGGTCGAACTCTATACTGAATGTATAGCTAGATACGCTGTCTTATTACAGATAATTATTAATTGCGTAAGCAAGAGAGCAAGTCGAACATCCGCTCTTATACTTTTATTAATTTTAACAATTTACCTTCTGATGTATTCCCGCTAATTGACAGGTACAAAAAGGATCAATTTGCGGGCTTCAATCTTCCTTCAACGTCGAATTCTAAGTTATTCTACTTAAATTGTCAATGTAAACTAGTAGTAATACGCACCTTTAGATAAACAGTCCCAAACCTCTTGTATCTCATAGCTCAAGCCAGCGCTGTTGTGAAAGTGATAGTTGTATTTCCCTTTAGGCAGCGTCCATTCGGTGTTATTAGCGGCGGATATGTGAAGCACCGTTGGACACCAGAAATAGTCCAGCTACGAAAGGTTTTTTTTATTTAAATACTCGAATAGACAAAAACAAAAAGTAAACAGATACATTTATTCATGTGGAAAGGATGTGTAAAGTTATATTTATATATTTTTTACATACCGGAGATCAAGGAAGATCTGAACGCTATACCAACTAAGAGTAAAGTATAATAGACATGTATATTGTATATGTACAGATCTGAGAATGGTTTGTGTTGTACAAACATAAGTATTCAACTGGAATTAAACCACTGGAATACAAATACACACTTATCGAGTGTTTTGTGTAATAGTATGGACTTACACAGATGCCAATATTTACAGAGATATTATTATTGAATTCCGGCCAATATGACAAACTCCGAATATTATTGCGGGCTATCAACTTCGAAGAACATAATATTACAGTGGCTTATAATGGCTTAACCACATTGTGACAAAATATTTGGGTAAATTAGCAGCATAATGCTGTGGTGTTTTGAGAAGTGAGTGACTGTAACTCGAGCCTCTTTCGCATTGCATTGTAGCTTAGTCGTTGGGAATTGGGATAATAAAGCACCTGTATTTTGATTCTTAACCAAAGATAGATATACTATACGAGTTTGTGGGCCATATCGTCCATTTATAATCTGGTGGACTGTACACTTGTATGTCATGATTATAATGCAGTATTAAAGACACATTTTAACACATCTAAATCAGAAAATCTACAAATTATTAAGATTATGTACTACAAATCCGTCCTAAGTAGATAAATAGTTACTGTCTGCCTTTATAATGATCATAATATAAACAATAAGATCTGTACCTACTACAGCAAGTTAGATATATTTGGTGTATTTTGAAAACTGCTCTTTCTTTAAGGTGATTTCTGCATCTCGACAACAGCGACACCTACCGGGTCCATATGTGAATCTGAACCATCTAGGGACCCATTCAAATACACATAAAACATTTCATCAAAATCGATGGAGCCGTTTTTGAATTTTAGCGAGACTAACGGATTTTTATATATAGAGTAGAGGAAGATGTTAAAATAAAAGTTTTTTTTTTGTACAAATTCGGTAAATGCTGAAGAGAAGAGCATTTTAGCCATTGATTTGAAAAGTACACAACAAAAACAATATAATGCTTTAGCATGATTATCTTCTGTATGCCTTTTATAAACGTTAAGCTGTAGGTTAAGCAGTAATGGTATAAATGATGATGAATGAATTTCAGTAGCGAATATTAAAAATGCTTCTATAGACGGATCCGTGGCGCAGTGGCTTAGCAATGATTTGTTGCGCTGGGGGCCGCGTGTTCAAATCCCGCACGGAACAAGTATTTGTATGGCCTACAAAAGAATTAGTAAGAAAACTAAGGTAAGGTACTACTAACCGCAAGAGTACCATTGGTTCCAGTTATTTCCGCTTTATTAGCCATAGCGGTGCGTGTGTGAGCCGATATAGTGGCCGTCCTTCCGTCCTTGTACTTAAGGGCGCAAGAAACGGACTCGTCGACGCCTGTTTTACTCAAGTGCCCCGTACACATGATGTCAATCGGCGGCTCCTTGTACACGAACTGTACCAGTTGCAACATGTAAATGCCTAAGTCCATAACCACACCACCTCCCAAGTCTTTCATTCTGGAACGTTCCCGCGGAAAGTTAGGCAGACGTTAGAAAACTGATAAAGGAAATTAATCAAGCGAATGAGACGTGAAAATTTAGTATATTACTAATAAGACTGCATCAGTTGTCTAAAATATTAAACCGAATAAGAAATAGATAAGTTGCAAATTTTAAAATTCTGTTTTACTTTTAACCACAAAATAGCGTCAGCGCAGCAACTGTAATAGAGAATGCATAGGCCTTTTTATATTAAAAATTGGCTATTGTTAAAATTATTGAAATGTTTCTTCGTTATATTACTATTACAACATGGGACTTATATATCGTACGTAGTCCGGGACTTAAAGTCTCATGTTTGTGTGTGTGTGTGTGGGGGGGGGGGCTAAAAGGCGACTAATGAGATATTTTTATACGTGGTAGAGCCATACTGCAGCTATATATTAGTAGTATAGTTGTAGCACGAATGGGTTGGCTCAACCGGGGAAGAGCCACGCTCTCACAGAACACCAGCGTAAAGTAGCAGCTTAACACTGCTGTGTTTCGTAAGGTGAGTGTAGAGAACCGGAGACCCTTTTTACTGGAAAAGAGGCATTCCATCTTAATCCTCACGGGTGACAACGCATCTGTATTTTAATTCGCAAACGAGGATAAATGTAGATGTCTATGGGCCACAGCAACCACTTACCATCAGGTGGACTGTATGCTCGTTTGTCACCCTATCCTAAAAAATAAATTAAAAATATGACATTTTTGATTGTGTAGGTGATGGGCTAGCGACCTATGACTTCTCAATTTTTTGGCTAAACGTAGTTCGATGAACTCTGCCTACCTCTTTAGGGATTACAGGCGTGACGCCATGTATGCATAATATATGTTTATTTTTCAAAGCAAACTTTTTAATTTAGGATGCAGTACTATTAATAACTTTACATATTTCGTTGATGGAAATGGAATGGTGGAAAGCAAGCAAGTGAATTGAGCGTATCTTACAAGTTTCTCTCAACGTCGTTTATCTCAACCCCAAACTGCACGTTAACATGATAAACTTCGCCAAGCCCACCAGAGGATATATGTTTCTCTAAAGCGTCGTAAGCAGGAAAGAACCTTGACCACATCCCTTCAAGAAGAAACAATTTCTTTTCGCGTGCTAAATCCACCAACGACTTTGTCTGCTTGTACGTCATTCCCATCGGTTTTTCGCAAAGCACGTGTTTACCATTCTCTAACATTAATTTAGTTATTTCATAGTGCTGTAAATTCATGACACTGACGAAAACGATGTCTGTAAATAAACAATTATTATATTCTTATGACAAATTTTACTTTTTTTATCGTGGTAGAGCCACGCTTCACCTACATTATGGTTTCAGCACGAATGGGACGGCAAGACTGTTGAAGGACCACGCTCTCACAGAATACCAGCGTAAAATGGCAGGTCAATGCTGTTGTTTCGTGAGTGTAGAGGACTAGAGACCCTTTCGATTCCAGTCGAAGCATTCTATCTTAGTCCTCAGAGGTGGCAACGTATCTACATTCAAAGACGTATTAAAAAAGATAGGTTACACACTAACTATTGTATTTTAAAGTGGCGCAGGTAGTACTATATCTACGTACAGTTATTTATTATGACACGTTGCGCTAACAAAAAGAGACAAATGATACGGCATACCTATCGTTAGAAAAAGATGAATATACATCATTAGTTGCGTATTGATTGCTGCTGAGCGCTCATTGGCGCGAACGCGTGACATACCGATATGGAAATGAACACACTAGCTAGCGTCAAAGTTTAAACTAGCGGTTAGTGTTGAAATAATAAAACCAATTATGAACAAAACATCTATATTCAAAATATTAATGAGACGTTTTTCTTGTCTCTAACAGTTGCCGTTTTACCACGAATAACTAGAAGATTTACGCTCTGTGGCGAAGATATAGGCGCGACGCGAGAGCGTGCCCGACTGAATGCGAGTCGGGCAATTACCTGACTTTCGTATTGCCATTTTAGAGCAAGAATAACGTATCTATGCTTCAAAAACATCTTAGTCTACATTTTGATTCTTAATCGAAGACAGGTGTAGATATCATGGACCACAGCTTACCATCAGTTGGGCTGCGTGCCCATAAAAATCTACATCGTCGATATTTTTCATGATACTTTCCCTAAATATAGGAAAAATGTAATAGATCACTATTTATAATAGTGATCTATAGTAATAGAGTAATAGAGTAATTTGTGAATAATTTAATTATAATTTAATATTCATGTTCTATACAGCTGCTGCTTAGTTATGTGCATGTTTTTTATTGTCTTGGTTATACATTATCTTTAAGTATTATTTTTTGTGACATATTTCTCTATAAGCTATTGTAGCTCTGCTTTGTCTTAATTTTTATAGTATTTTGTAATGCTGTGTCACCTATATGGGTGCACACATCACTCCCTAGATTAAGCTCACGTTCAATTAAATGTAATAATGTGTTACTGCTGGTGTCCTATGAATAAATAAATAAATACATCTATATTCAATTAAGAATTAAAATGAAGTTACATTATCACGTACACAGTACACTAAGATGGAATGCCTCGTTTCCAGTAAAAAGGGTCATCGGTTCTCTACACTCGCCATACGAAACACAGCAGGTTTTCTGTGAGAGCGTGGTCCATCCCAGTTCGAGCCGACCCATGGCCAACCGTAATATAGCTGCAATTTCATATCATAGCGATTTAAAATAAATACATAAAGACACGTGTCAGAATTAATTTATTTTATCTTATTCTCTGCTACACCAAGCTTATGATTTTATTTACTAAAGTAAAAAAATAGCAAAGCGGAGAAAAAGCGACCATGTAGCCAAGAAATTATTATTTACACTTTGTTTATAACGTACATATAATATGAATGAACATCCCTTATATTTCAATAAATCTTAAGGACGTGTTTGCAAAATTGATAGGTATAGAATCGAACTATTGCATTGACACGCGTCACACTAGATCTACTACGGATATCACCGTTACGTATTCTATCACACAGAGAAACTCCGTGCGACCTTCGCCATAGCTAGCTGAGTGACGTTAAAAGCTTTTTTAGACCAAATACTTCAAATAATCATCATCATCATCACAGCTCATCAAAAATCCTCTGCTATAATATAATATACGAGGTAATCTTTAAAGGAAGCCCTACATAGCCTCGAATGGGGTAAATTTGCTATAATTGCCACTATTGGCAGGTGAGTTGGCAACCGGTTTTTTTATTATTTTGTGTTTTTTAAGGAAGATGGTGCTGCCCATCTCCTGTTGTATTTCCCTCTGTCGTCTCTTGCAACATCCACGGAACGATATAGGGTAGTGTATATTGTTACACCACCTCTACACGGTACTTAATATAATACTTATTAAAATAGCTTAAATATTTGCAGGTAATTGAAAATTTTACCCGAGTACAAAAAGGGTGGAGGTTCCAATTCGTCCAAATATTTTTATGTATGCTCAGAGATAATTCTTTACCACGTCCATTTTCTAATCTTTTTTTTTTGTTAAAAGACTACTTCAGAGGTGCTTCAATTTAAATTTCACCAACATTTTATGATGAGATCCATGAGAAAATCATTAAATTCTACAACATGTAAGAGCATCTGCACAACATATAGGCGAATAATTCTATACTACGTCAAACCATTTCAAATATTATTTTTATTTCTTTGAAGTCAGTTTTTACTACATTAAAAGTTACGTCTTGTGATGATTTTTGCTATTTATTAAGTTAGATGTTCAATTTATAGAATTTCAATTTTTAAGTCCCAGTCGCACCTTGTAGTTAGTCGTTCGAAATGTTTTTCCTACATTTAAAAGTACAAATTTCAACATATCGCCACATTTTGAGGTAAACAGGTCACGGCTCACGGTTCTATTGTTTTCGTAGTTAACTTTTTTTCGTGTATGTTTAGAATAAATGATGATATGCTCTCACAACTAAATTTAATTCGACGCTTAATAAATACTTACATGATTGCGTTTGCATTAAAATCGATTTTGAACTTTTTAATCTAAAGAAAAATGAACTAACATTTAGCTACCGAATGGGAATGCAGTGAGCACACTCATTTTTTTATCGAGTTAATAAAAAAGGTTTCATTATCAACTTGTATCGCCTTGAGTTTCATAATCGTTTTACTACTATATATAAAAGAATAGACTTAATTAGCTAGATGTTCTTTTAAAATCAGTATTACGTGTACTGGTTTTAAAATTAAATTTGGTTTATTTTTTACCCACTTACTGACGCCTGAATAATCTGAAACTTTGCAGGCGTATTATAAACCGATGAGAATGGTAATACAATAATTTTATGACGATGATATGGTATTCTTACTAGGATCACCACAGCTCATGATCAATGCGGATTGCTTAAGTTTTTTTTTTAACTCTACGATTACATTTTGTCTATGTGGAAATAAATGGAGAAATTGAAGATTTATACTATTTTTGAATATACGTTTCATCTTGCGAGCGGCGCATATCAGTAAGCTAACAATATCAATAACGTGTTGGCCAAACATCACAAATCGCTCCGTGCGTCAATGGTTTGAACGCTTCCGTTCTAGAAATTGCGATCTTAGGGATAAGCCACACGAATGACTTACGACTTACGTCCAATTTTAATGACGACGAATTAAGGCCTATAATAAAGCTGATAAAAATTCTGATTAAAATAAAGTTCATTCAATCTGAAAAGTATAAAAGCTAGAAAACTAGGTTCCATATCAAGTGGGCGAATTTCAACGACAATAACTTAAATTAAAAATTTAAAAAAGAACCCGAAACACACATTCGGTATTATTAAGTATTACACCTTTCAAACGAAAAAAAAACTTCATAAAGATCGGTTAATCCGTTTAGGAGCTATGATTCCACAAAAATACATATTAATTATAACACCCCTCTGTTTTCCTCGGCGGTTAAAAATGTATCGAAGTGTCAATACGATCGTAAAAAGTAACAAAGCTTGATCATATGATTATCACGATATAATATACGACATTTTTGAAACTTTAAGAGCTGAATTTGGGATTTTTCCCTCACCGATCATATTCATCAGACCTGGTTCCGCTGATTTTCTTTGAAAAGACAGCTTTTTGTAAAAAAGTTATTTAATACTTAAATTAATTAAAATACTGAAGTAAAAGTGACTGGCGTTTAAAGGACTATGTTTAAACTCGCCTAAAAACCAACAGATATTTGACAATTACCAAAATTCTTATCCTTAATTATGCATTAGATAACATTCATTATATAGTAATGGACACTTCTGAATTGTGAAATCAAAATAAAAAGGACTTTTTCGATTTTGAACTTTGTACCTAATTTTTAATACTCATGTGCTGCGTCTATGGCCTCCTGTGATTTGGCCAATCGCACAATACCTTCACTCACATATTTCAAAAGTTGTCATAAACTAAAATATATTATGAAAACGTTTATATTTTAAAATATAACTCGGATTAATATATGCCACAAGGAACTGGGGTACAGTGAAAAGCTTGAAAACGTCTTCCAAAGCAGCGATGAAGAGTTTCGGGGATATAACATCACCCTGTCTTACACCTCTCTGCCATTGGATAGGTTTCGTACTCTGGTTCTGTACTCGGATCGTAGCTCTACTGTACAAACATTTCAGCACTTCGATATACCGACAGTCAACTTAGCACCGCTGAAGGGACTGCAGCACCGTCCAAATTTCGACGGAATCAAAGGCTTTCTCATACTCCACATACGCCAGACATAGTGGCAAATTGTACTCTTCGGACTTCTGTACAATTTGCCGAAGGGTATTTATGTGGTCTATGGTGCTAAAGCCCTTTCGGAAACCGGCTTGTTCGGGAGGCTGGAAGTCGTCAAGTCTGCGCGCAAGACGATTCGTAATGACTCTCGAAAACAGCACGTAGACGCGGCTCAGAAGGGAAAATCGGTCTGTAGTTCTTCAAGAGACCTCTCTTGAAGAACAAGACCACCGCACTTCTGCTCCACGCCTCCGGTGTAATGCCACCATGGAGAACGGAATTAAAGAGCTTCCGAAGGACTTCAAGTACCGGTCTTCCACCCGCTTTCAGAAGCTCCGCTGTAATTCCATCCTCGCCTGGGGCCTTGCCGTTTTTAAGGTGCTGGAGAGCCATTCTAATCTCGCTCAGACTGACGTCCGGGATATCTTCGGAATAGTGTCGGATAAGACTCGCTCTTGGATCGTTACTCACACTTGCGTGTGGCTCCAACGATGA